TCCAGGAACAGACAGAAAACCCACTAAGATGTTTCAACTAACAGATGCAGTATTGGAGTTGTTTAAATATTTGGTAGACGGCTACTTGGCCAAATGTCTGGAAGAGATCCTTCCCTATTTGTGCCCATTCCAATGAAAGTTGATCCAACAGAATGTGGCAATTGTGTTTTATTATCATTAAAATTTTGCTGAAGATATTTCAAAAACTGTTGGAGCACTATACTGACAAGGAACTTCTAGAAATTCAAGCTGGATTCAAAAGAGTGAGTGGAACTAGGGCTATCACTGCTGATGTTAGATGGATCTTAGCTGAAAGCAAATACAAGAAAGATGTTTACCTGTGTTTTTTGACTATGCAAAGGCAGCCAACTGTATAGATCATAACAAATTATGGATAACATTGCAAAGAATGGGAATCCCAGAATAGTTCATTTTAATCATGAGGAACCTGTATATAGACCAAGAGGCACGATCAAACAGAACAAAATGATACTGCGTGATTTAAAATCAGGAAAGGTGTGTGTTAGAGTTGTATCTTTTCACCATACTTATTCAATCTGTAAGCTGAACAATAATCCAAGAAGCTCGACTACATGAAGAAGAGCATGGCATCAGTATTGGAGGTAAACTCCTGCCAAAGGGGCAGGGAGGCCACATCTTCTGATCTCCTCTAACCACCCAAGAGGAAGACAGAATCACCATCAATAAATAGCCCAAGGCCTATTCCTGTGAGGCCAGGCATGCTGCCTCCCTCCAGCCCTTTCATAAATGCCAACCATTGCTCTCGCAGCACTCACCACCTTTCTGCTGGGTTCAATAATTCGCAGCAGTGGCCACACAGAACTCAGATTATGGTGTTTATTAGGAAAGAAACAGGCTACAACTCAAGTTCAGAAACGCAATCAGTCTCTCGCAGCCTGCCATCTCTCAGCTGACAGCCTCTCTCAGCAATGTGTGTCTCTCAAGGTCTCTCTCTCAGTAGCATGTGTCTCTCATGTCTCTCAGGAGCATGTTTCTCTCAGCAGCATGTCTCTCCCAGCCAGCAGTACAGAGACTCCTTGGCAGAAGGCCGCTAGGAGGCTTCCTTTTGAGCTTGGCAGAGTGGCCAAACTAACCAATCATAACAACAGAATTCTAAGCACCTGAGAGAGAGCGAACTTCCCAGAACATTGCTTTGTGCCACTCTCAACAAAAATATCCCAGATGAATAACTTTAACAATCAGAAGCTCCTCAGTTGCTCACGGCAAATTCCACCACAGAGCTTACTAAGACTTGTGGCTAGAAAAGCCGTGCCAGGTAATTTACTACACCCCACTCCTTACCAACCTGACACAACTTTATTTGGTGAAAATGGAAATCATTTGAAGTACTTACTGATGAAGATCAAAGAGTATAATATAATCTTCAGTATGGATTACACCTCAACATGAAGAAAATTAAAATCCTCACAACTGGACCAATAAGCAACATTATGATAAATGAAAATATATATATATATATTGACGTTGTCAGGGATTTCATTTTACTTGGATCCACAATAACACTCAAGAGAAGCAGCAATCAAGAAATCAGAAGATGTACTATACTGGGCAAATCTGCTGTAAAAGACCTGTCTTAAAGTGTTAAAGAACAATGATTGTACTTTGAATACTAAGGTGCACCTAACCCAAGCCATGGTATTTTCAATCATCTCATAAACACGTGAAAGCTCTTCAATCAATAAGGAAGACCAAGGAGAAGTTGATGCGTTCGAATTGTGGTGGTCGTGGTGATGGTCGTGGTGGTGAAGAATACTGAAAATACCATAGACTGCCAGGAGAACTAATAAATCTGTTCTGGAAGAAGTGCAGCCAGAATGCTCCTTGGAAGAAAGAATGACAACACTTCATTCTTCTTACCTACTTTGGTCATGTTGTCGAAAGGGACCATTCCCTGGAAAGAGATATCATGCTTGGTAAAGTAGAGGGTCAGCAAAAAAGGAGAAGATCCTCGAAAAGACACACTGTCACAGCAGCTGCAACAACAGGATCAGGTACATCAAGGATTGTGAGGCTGGTGCAGGACCAGCCAGTGTTTCATTCTGTTGTACACAGGTCACTATGAGTCTGAGCTTACTCGATGGCACCTAACACCACCACCACCACCACAAGAAGAAGGTACAAATCTGTCTTGGAAAAAATGCAGCTGGAATACTCCTGAGAAGTGAGAACAGCCAGACTTTGCTTTGTGTACTTTAGTCATGTTGTCAGATGGGACCAATCCCTGGAGAAAGTAAAGTGGACGGCCAGAAAAAAAAAAAGAGGAGGACACTTAATGGGATGGATTGACAAAGTGGCTACAACGATTGGCTCAAGTATGACAAGGATTTTGATGATGGCACAGACCAAGCAGCATTTCATTCTGCTGCACATAGATCACTACATATTGAAGCCAACTCAATGGCACCTAACAACAACAATAAATACGTGATGAGATATACTGTGTTCATGGACATATAAATGTAATATTATTAATAATCATTTCTCCAAAATTGATCCAATCAATGGCTGGTAGGTTTGAACTGTCAACCTCTGGTCAGCAGCCAAATCCCTTAGGTACTAGGCCACCAGAGCTGCTTGATCTTATGGTAGGCAAAGATGTTTTTAACAAAACAGATAAAGTACACACTATAAAATTGAAAAGTAATTAAATGGACTTTTAAAAAGTTTAAATCTGGTCTTCAAAGGCTCAGTATGAAACAAAATGCACGTCACATATAGTAAGAAAATACTTCAAAACTTTATCTTACAAAGAGCTTCTATCCAGAATGTAAAGAAGCCACACAATTCGATTAAGATGATGAAAAACCACTTTAAAATGGGCAAAAGATTTGAGAAGGAATTCACCAAAGATTGACAATACTGAGAGCTAGCAAGGATGTGGAACAAATAGATATCTCATATACTGCTGGTTAGAATACTATAGTCACTTTGGAAAACAGTTTAGCAGTTAAACCTACACTTGCAATGTGACCCAGCATTCCCAAATCCTAAGTATACCAAAACTTACACCAACCAAGACAAATAATGTTCATCACACTTCATTCATAATAACACAAAACTGGGAAATGCCCAAATATCTGTCAAACAATGAATGGCATTGTGGCACATTTACTCTATAAAATAACTGCTCAACAATTAAAAGAAACACAATACTGATACATGCAATATCATGGATGAATCTCAGAAACCATGCCAAGTGATCAACATCAAAAACCAAAGAATACATGCTGTTTGAGTCCAGTTATGTGACATTCACGAAAAGGCAAAGCTAGAGGAGAGAAAGCAGGTAAGTCATTATGTGGGACCAAGGTTTAGAAGTGGAATTACCTGGAAAGGGGTAAAAAGTAACACTTTGGGTGATGGTACAGACACACATCTCGCTCTGATTGCCAAAACTTAGCAGACTATAGGTTTACTACAAAGCTTTTAATTTCCTACTCAAGACAAGTAATTTTTTTATGTTATAGATATTACAACTCAATGAAGCTTTAAAACAATTTTTAAAAACAAACGATAAGCCACAGACTGGGTGCAGTGTAGTAAATTACTTTGTGTGGCTTTTCTACCCATAAGTCTTTGTAAACTCCAAGGTGGGATTTGCTATGAGCAACTGAGGAGCTCCTGATTGCTGAAGGTGTCCACCTG